CCCTCATGGCCTTCAGAAAAGCTGTTAAGACCTGGCTGTTCCGGCAGGCCTGGGGCTGTTGACCTTATTATGTAGGGTCCAGCCCCAATCAGAACATATGCATGTTGGATAATTTTTTATTTTTTTATTTTTTTGTTTTTTATTTTGTTTGTTTTCTTTTGTTCTGTGTAAGCCGCCCGGAGTCCTCTGGGATTGGGCGGCCTATAAATCTAATAAATTAAATTAAATTAATTAAATTAAATTACAATGTCCTTATATTTAAATCTAATTCCCTAAAAACAAAGTTTCAGAGACAATTCTATGCATCATTCTTAGTTAGTAAAGTGATCCACCTTCTAAAGTTTAAGGCAGTAGTGGTAGTGGCAATAGCAGCAATTAAAAATACAATAACAGGGGACTAATGTACAGTATGTAATGTTTTTTTAAATTTCAAATTGTACCCATTATCTCTGGAGATAAAAGAATTATGATGAGCATGACATTCTTATGATTCTTAACTTCTGGTGTGGCCTTCAGGATGGCTGATGCAAAACGAGCTGTTGACCTGGACAGAAAGGCTGCAATGCTGGGCAGGAAGCTTGTCAAAGGTCTGGAGTTGGATGATGAGGAAGACGATTACTACGATGTATCTGACATGGAGTTCTCTGGGATTATCTTCAGCTCTGTAAAGAGGTACTTTCCAACCCGAGTAATGCTTCAGTTTCTTCTCAGAAGAAAACATACTTCAACCTGATACATTCCAGATACATTAAACTGCAATATCCAGTATCTTAAAGCTGCTTTAACTATGGTGCGAAGAGTTCTTTATTTCTTAGGGAGTTAAGGGCAAACACTTTTTCAGACTTCAGAAGGGTAGCTGCCATTTCAAATTGAGTAGGTTTTCACTTGAATATTTCCACACTAGCTCCTGCAGGGAAGAAAGAAAAGAGAAAGAAAATAGAACTCCTGTAGCCACATTTTTGGGATAGGATGCGATCAAAAACATGGCAAGTAAAGAATTAGCTGTCTTTTCCCTGATTTGATGCACATCGCTACCCCACAGCAGGGTAATTTGCAAGTTTTGATGATTTTGATGTAAATCTGCTGGTGTAGCCATCTGTTAAAACTTGCTTCGCTCCACACATTGTACATTAAGGAATGTAGTTGATAGCTGTTCTCCTATCAGTGAATGTTGGTGGGCGGGGTGGGGGGGAAGCAAAAACAGGAGAAACCAACACTTAGTTTTCTTAGCTGCTCCCACATTAAACCTGTCAGCAGAGCCCTGCTCCTTGATCTGATTACTGGGGAAGAAGACAAGTCAGCAATGACATCAATGCAAGTATGTGGTTAGACAATTCTGCTTCCTCCAGAAAGTGGCTAGAGTGTATCAGAAAGGGGAAGACTAAGTATTTAGCCAAACATTCCTTTCCAAAATATTGTGTGTGCCTTATTTGAGTTTATTGTTAGCATTTATATTTATGTAATACTGAAACTCATGTGTCTGTTTGTAACCTTCATTTGGGCAAAATTGGAAGGTATATTGGAAGTTATTGAACCCAAGTAACCCAAATGGATTGCTTTACAAAATGCTGGGACCAATGACGTCCAAGTAAATTAAATTTGGAGAAGCTGTGGCTGCTTCAGTGCCATCACACCTTCTGATTGCACTACCCAGAAACCTACCCTCTTTCCTGCCTCCCTCTGGCCTCTGCTCCCAGTCAACTAGCTTGGCAGGCAAATGGCAATTGGCTGCTTTGCAAACCGACTGAAATCTCTTAATGGTAGCGGGCAGCAAGGGAAGGATAAGGGAGCCACTTGAATGCCTCCTTGTAAGGTAGGCCTGGCTGGGGGATAATGGCAGTGAACAGATGAGGCTTCTTCCTCCCTAGAGAGAGGGGACCCTTGTGGACATACTGGGATGAGGAGTGAGGTGCAGTTTTCTTTGCCATCCATGGTTCTCCTTGTTCCTCCCCATTTAGCAAAATGGCAAGCAGTTTGGCCAAAATTATGATTGTTCAAACATTTACTACAAATGTTTACTATTTGTAAATTAGCATTGGCATTAACTAGCAATCCCTTACAGAACTTATTTTTAAAATGTTTTATTTCAAGATATTAAATGAATTATCAGAATAATTATATAATGGTATCAGTAACTTCAACATAAATAAGATAAGTTTGGGAAATTGTTAACCAACGACATGTAGCAACTATCTCTTTTTGCAGATTAGGTATAGATATCTCCTTTCAATTTTTAGAAAAAGGGTCACAGTAACCATGCCATTATCACAAACAGAAGTGGTAGTAGATATATTTACTTACTTACTTAGGCTTGCATGTTGCTCTAATCCTGAAGATTCAAAGCAGTTTACAACATTTTTTCCAGCATAAGGATTTTTTAAATTTAGTATGTGCTTATATTGAAGCACAGTACAAATGAAACTAATACATCAGTAACACCGAGAGGAAGTTTTATTTAGTAGATTACACCAATACACATTATTCTCATGTTTACCACCAAAATAATCCTATACAATTAATCTGCTGTGGGCAGATTACTCAATGAGTTTGTATTTGACTTAAACTAAACCCATGATTTTACTTACCACAGTGCACTGTTTTGCTACATTTTGTAGTTTGAGTGTAATAGCACAATTACATATCTTAATGGAAATGTAAAATTAAATTTACATTCTTTCTTTCCTTAAAATTAAATGTTGATTTACTGTCATCCTTCTGCTGAAACAATATTAATCAAGAATACATCCCAAGTAAAAAGTGTATTGAGCATTATTAATGAAATTAATTTAGTTCTTCAGTAGACTTTCCATTCCCATAAGCTGTATCTTTATATTCCAATGTTCTCTGCATTCAAAAACAAAAATAACAATTCAAATAAAATGACAAATCAGACATGTAATTAATGTTCGATGTTCCATTTTAGCCGTTCTAGGGTTTTCTCCAAGTGGGATCTCAATGCATCTCCTAGACCACAGAACTTCCAGGTGACGTATCTGCCACTTTTACCGTGAACTTTGGATTTATAGCCCTTTTGAACCAGTGGGGTGCATTTGAAATTATGAGAGGATGCTCTGGTATTCACATAAAATACCCATCCTGGATGGAGATGGCCCTACTACACAATAGTGCTCTGATGGGTGTTGCAGGTTATAAATAACCCAGTTACAGTACCAGAAGGCAAATTTGTGAAGTTGCTTCTTGCTTTTCCTGTACTCCCCAGTGATGTCCCTTGTTAGCCCAGTTTATCTTGTCTTTCTTTTTCTGCCAAGTAAACAGACATCCAAAGAATGTACAGGGACATAAGTTTGTGCAATCCAGAGCCATGCTTGTCAATAAAAACGACACTAGAATTTAGTAGTATTTTTGTTTTATTTATTGAATATAGCATTTTTATTAAAGAATTAAAATCAGGTGGACAGAAAGCTTGGCAGACATATATGCATACTTGACCTCTTAGAGTCTCTGCCAATAAACCATTCAAAAGAATGCTCTTTAATTCATATTTCTTACCGGATTTTGAAAATCATGTATTTGTTTATAATGCTCAGTAATGATTGAGCAATCATTCCAGCAAACTTGAATGTAAAAGGAAACACTGATTACTTTTTTTTTTTTTACTCATCAACAAATTGTAAAAACAAACAATGAATGCTGGAGATTTGACTCCAGAACCATTCAAGTAACTAGTTGACTTAATTCCTCTCTTTATACTGATATATCCAGACTGATTATAGGAAATATATTGTCTCCTTAGATTGGCATCAACATAATTGAAGCTCAGAAGTTGGTTGGAGTTAATATTGATCCTTTTGTGGTACTGAAAATTGGAAGTGAGAAAAGACATACAGCAACACAGAAATCCACCAATTGTCCTTTTTACAATGAGGTAGGCTAAACTTGAAGAAAGTGTACCTAATTCTATTCTCAGACTTGTCAATCTAATGTATGTGAGAACAGTTATTGAGGCAACTACAAAAACTGCTGATTTAAACCATTAAATGCAACTCAACTCCTTGCTTAATTCAGGAACTTTATTTAGAATATTCTTGAGAGACAGCGAAGGAAGATCTGTTTAGACACATCTGCTAAACAAGAGACCTAATCTGTTTCAGAAATAGATTCCAATCTGCAAGGACTCTTACTTTTAGGCAGATTTCCTAACAATTAGTCATAATTTGTTCTCATCTAAAAGCACATTCTGTACTCTGGGATTATATGGAGTATGTTTTTGCCTTTTTAAACATGTAAATTAACCTTAAAGCCCTAAAGAAAGGGACCTTCCATTTAGAAACATTGGGACATGAAAGGAAGCACTTTTCTTACATAGCTTCTTGTTGAAAATATTCTGCGTAGTATTATATGATGCTGCTTGGCACATGGTAGAACTTAATTTTTACATGAAATGTAATGTTTATATTTTTTTCCTTTTTCTTCCAGTATTTTACTTTTGATTTTCATGAACCAAGAGATATTCTATTCCACAGATTGATAGAAATTTCTGTAAGTATACTAGCTACTATGTATGGGGTGGAAGTGAAATGAGGGTAGATGGCCTTACATTATATCATGAACTGAGCAATGAATTAAAACTACAGTTTCTCATTTTTTCTTCTAAAGTTGCAGCTATTCTTTGTCACAGATCAATAAGAGCTAATCATATCATATTTTATCATGTAGGCGGCCATTAGAAATGTATAATCTTTACTTTGTGCATTTCTCTTATAAAAATGTCTTATTATTCAGATATTTGACATTCTAGTTTATCAAATAATTCAATTAAGCATACAATTATGAAAAGAAATACTTGGTAAGTGATGCTACTGAGAAAAATAAGTCTGACTTATGGTCTTGTAGAAACTAATTTGTGAAACTTCTTACAATTTCATTAATACCATTTAACTTGGCTATGATTGCTACTTGCCATCTTGTTTTCAACCCAGTTATCAGCTTCAGTGACCTCCCTACTCTCAACTCAAATGCTAGGCTCTTCTTGGCAATAGTTGCCTTCTGTAGGTCTCTTGTCTGCAATATGTCTCTTGAGAAATACCATTGTGTTCATGTGCAGGTCTTCCATTCAAAGAAGATTCCTTTCCTAGGCACTCTCATAGGCACTTTCAAGATAGATCTTGAGACTGTATACAACCAGCCAGGTACTGTATCCTGAGGCTGTTATCATACTAAAAGTTGCTTTTTAGTTCTCTTTTGCCATTGCTTTGAATTACCTGCTTTGAGTCCATAACATTCTAGCATATCATTGTGATTTGATCAAAAGCTAATCAATATTTTCATGATAAGTATCAGTCACATCCAAATGAGAATTAAAAATGAGCTCTCCCGGTACTTGATCCCTTCAAGAAGGTCCATGATCAAGATTCTCAGCTGAGAAAAACTGAGTTGGTTCATTAAATTGGCCAATATTTTCAGGGCTGGTTGAAGATTTTTTGCTATAAGAGGTTGATCGCATCATGTTTGTGAAATTTACCCAGCTCACATGCTCACTCACGTGCATAAGCGCACCAGCATGTCTACCGTCCCTGTCCTGCTGTCCCCATTTTTTTGTACTAATTTCCTTTGTTCATATCCATGTTTATACTTATACCCGTTATTTTGTAGATGTTTGCCAAATGAAATAAAATATATTTGCAGTGAATTTGTTTCACTTTCACACTCTGCCCATCTCCTGGAGCACTTGGTATTTCACATTGCCTAATTATCTACCTTCTAAAATCTAGTGTCATTTGGGATTAGTACTCCCAGAGTTTCTAAATATATGAGATGGGTGCCAGGTTGGGATTGGTGCCATTTGATTCTCATGGAGATCTTTTAGTAAAAGTTTATGTGCTCTGTGTTATATCTTTCTTTATAATCAATCTGAAGACCTCTACTAATTTCTGGGAAGCAATAACTAATCTATGCTTGCTAAGTATAATGTCAATCCATTCAGTTTTAGTTTTCTTCTGGGCCTTTTGTTCAAAACACTGGTAGTCTAGATTTACAATTTGTAGGCATTATTGTTTGTTTATTTGTTTATATCAATTACATGACCACCCATCCTACACTAGTGTTCTTGGGTGGTATATATTGATTAAAAACACAAAACCTTATAGCATACAACCCATCAGGTAGCCAAGGATAAACAATAACCCCACTCACAAAAAAAGTACATCAACAAAAGCAGAGCTACCCTCACCTTCTGACCCAAACTCCTAATAATCTAAATTAGATCCAGAGAAATTGTGATTCAATTGTTTTCTCTTTATGCACATAGACCATAGGTTCTACCAGAAGTGGGCTGTGATTAATGACCCAAAGGACACCAGAGCAGGAATTAAAGGCTTTGTAAAGTGCAACATTTCTGTCCTGGCTCGGGGGGACGTAATGGGTTCCTTTCCTGCCTCATCCAGCAGTCAGAATGAAGACATTGAAAAGTAAGTCTGTGGTGGTGAAAGGTGTGTGGAATGTTGTATTATGGAATTAGTAATAAGAGAACTGTTTTCTTACTCCTATGGAGTAAAAGATCCAGAAGTACAGTGCTTAATCAAACTTAGAAAGTTTGCTTTATTTATAAATTGTATCATTTAGCACAGGAAAGGAGATGAGCATTCTAATAAGAGTGAATTTCAGGTCTCCTCTTTCTTTCTTTCTTTCTTTCTTTCTTTCTTTCTTTCTTTCTTTCTTTCTTTCTTTCTTTCTCAGTCTAAAATGGTTGTCTGTCCTCTTTTACATGTGGGATCTTCTCCTTGTCCCACTATTAGTACAGGCCACCCATCATTTCCTGAGTACAAGTATGGATAATGTCATCTTCCACTCACATCTATATTTATTTTGAAACTCCATGTGAAAACTGGTTTTATGCCTGAAACAATTTTAAGCCTTTCTGAACCATGCAAAGAATCCAAAATACTATGAACTATGTTTTGCTACTTTGCTTTGATTAAGAATAAAACAATCCTTAAAAAAAGCGGGAAGGAGACATTGAGACATTTGCCTACACAAGGCTAGAAAGTAAAGTTCTCTTCTCTGCATGGATGGGAAGGAAAAGAAACAGGGCAAATAACCAATCGGGTTCTGCAGTAGCCATATTCTGGACTGGGCACCAACCCATTGCAGTCTCGACTTGAATTTTTAAACTCAGCTTCAGCAATAGTTGGAAGCATAAGAAAGACAGTTGTGTGGCTGGCTGCAATGTGGACTTCAAAGGATCATCCCTCTTAACTGATCAAATATCTTCTTTTCAGGAACTTATTGCTTCCTAAAAAAGTTCCAGCTGAGAGACCCTGGGCCAAATTCTGCATCAAAATATACAAGGCAGATGGTTTGCCCAATATGAGTGCAGGAATCATGGGTGGCTTTTCAAAAATTGTGAGTGAGAAGAAAGTGTTCATTGATCCTTACGTGCAGATTTCTTTCTCTGGACAACAGGTAATTCTATTTTGTCTGCATATTTTCTTATTGAAAGATTCATGAAATAAACTGATACGTTCAATTTTAGTAATGAACTTTTTGAATAGGTCATATAGAAGAAGACCAAGCATTAAGAACTTAGGAAACAGTATGACCCAGTCCTCTAATTGCTGGTTGTGGAATAAATTCCAAAGCTTCCCTAATGTGCTCAGGCAACTTTCCCTAATGCCTACAACTTCATTTTGTTCCTGTCTCTTAGTCTTGCAATATGCAATTAATAGAAGCCCAATGTAGGATTTGCTGACAATGTAACAGGCGACATAAGACTTTTCCTACTACTGAGTTAAAATATTATTTGCCCCCATCTGAAGTGGTGTGGTGGCTCAGTGGTTAAGATGTTGGGCTTGTTGGCTGGAAAACTGGCAGCCCAATTTCAAGACCCGAGTATCACACAACTAGGTAAGTTCCCGCCCTTGCCCCAGCCCCTGCCAACCTAGAAGTTTGAAAAGATGCAAATGCTAATAGATAAATAGGTACCACTTTGGTAGATAGGTAACAGTGCCCAGTGATGTCATGCTGGTCACATGACTGCAGAAATGTCTTAAGTCAGCACTGGCTCAATGGCCTTGAAACGGAGATGAGCAACACCCCCTATAGTCGGCAACAAGTAGTGAAGTAAAATATCCAGGGACTCCTTTACCTTTACTTTACCTCATCTGAGTTAGGCAGACATATTGTTCCTATTGTCAATTCCTATGTTGCCTGTATTCCAACCACAGCCAGTCAATGATAATGGATTTCAAAGCAAGGCAACTTCATGAGAACAAGAGGAATAATAAGCGTGATTGTAGTTGATTGTGCTGTACTTGTACTTGAGAGACCGCCTGCTGCCAATTACCTCCCATAGACCCGTTAGATCGCACAGGGTCAGCCTCCTCCGGGTTCCGTCTACCAGCCAATGCCATCTGGCTACCACCCAGGGGAGGGCCTTCTCTGTAGCAGCTCCGTCCCTTTGGAATGAACTCCCCGTGGAGATTCGGACCCTCACCTCTCTCCAGGCCTTCCGGAAAGCCGTCAAAACCTGGCTGTGCCGGCAGGCCTGGGGTTGATGAGTTCCCCTCCCCTCTCGACTTGTATGGCTGTATGACTCTTGTGTATTTTAATTACGTGTATTGTGTTTGTATCCCCTTTTCCCCTTTTGAGTTGTTCGCTGCCCTGAGTCCCTCCCGGAGAAGGGCGGCATACAAATAAACTAAATCTTAATCTTAATCTTAATCTCGTATAGGAATTAGATACAAATAGGGACATGAACACAGTGCAAGACTCTTTAAGGAAACTTTTTTTCAAATGTGAATTACTTCATTTATATAGTTCTGATTAAGTGCATGAGCACACTAAAGTTAAGATTATAAGAATGTAGAAATGACCATAAAACAATTCCCCTTTAAGGAAAGGTGACAAAGTTTGGAGCTAATTGTTTGTTTAAAAGATGGGAATTCAGGGAGTTGCAATTTCAAGACATCTGAATGAGGTCAGGGAATGAGAAAGCTGGTCTGAATAATTCTGTGCTTCCTCACTCTCCTATTTCTGCTTTATCACCAATTGAGTTCTTGTAATATTGTCTTATTTAGGGAGAAACATCAGTTGAAAACAGCACTATAGAACCAGTTTGGAACGAACAAATAACATTCATCGAGATGTTTCCACCTCTTGTTCGAAAAATAAAAGTCCAGCTACTGGATGATGCAAACATTGGAGATGTTGCCATTACTACACATTTCATTGATCTGCAACAAATATCTGACCCTGGAAGAAATGGTGAGTTTGTCATAGACATTGTCTTATATCAGACTGTAGTTCTGTCCAGCACCGTGTTATCAGAATTGCTATTTTAGCTGACTGCAAGTCGCTCCCAGGTATCAGGCAATATTCTTTCCAGCTTTAACCCAGGAGAAGTCAAGGATAGAAGCAGCAAAATTAGATTGGAAAGCAGTGATTTTGCTATTGAGCTGCTGCTCCTTAGAACATCATAGCTGAAATACAATGGTCTTTACCTTTTGTCTATTACCCCATTTCTCTATTTGATTGAATTAAAAATTAATTAATAGTATCCTTTATACAGCTACGGAAAAACAATGAATTGGGTCAAATTGCGTTATAGTCATGGCAGCATGTATAAAATACTCTGTAGGACTGTTTTGACTATATTGTATAGGCTAATCTTATAGAAATAGAAGAAAACTTTAAGCAAAAGGTTTTACTTATCATAAATGGTTCACAAAAGAGAGTCTTTTTTGTCAATAAAAATTCCACAGGGTCAATTACCAAGCAAGCTTTATTACTTTTGCACAACAGCTTAACATACCTTTCTGGTGAACATTTGAGAAAGATGCCTAATACAGCGATAAATGGCCAATGGAGGTTTTGTAAAGGTTTTGCATTGTATTTTCTTCTTGTCTTGATTAAGTATAGTAATACAGATTGCAAATGTATTGGAACAATGGGACATCTTTTTCTCAACTATAATTCAACTGAGAATAGAATAGAATTATTTATTAGCCAGGTGTGATTGGACACAGAAGGAATTTGTCTTTGGTGCATATGCTCTCAGTGTACATAAAACAAAAGATATGTACACTGAGAGCGTATGCACCAATGACAAATTTTGCTGAGAAATTATTATATACAGTCTACTTCTGTATGTGGTGAGACATAGCTAGGAAATATCTGTACTGATTCACACCATGCTGAGGGATACAGTCACAATTACTGCTCTGAATTTTTGAGTGATAACCACATGCCACATATCTATTTACAGATAGTCCTCAACCTATGACCATAATTGGAACTAGAATTTCCATTGCTAAGAGGTTTAGGTTTAGGTTTAGGTTTATTGGGATTTATATGCCGCCCTTTTCCCTGAGGGGACTCAGGGCGGCTTACAACCACAAGGGAGGGGAGTGCAAGGTCAGAAACAAAACAATATGTGAACAAAGAAAAAAATGGTAAAACACAACTTTCATTCAGCAATCAAACACTCGGGCGGGTAAATTGGAAGCCTATCCCCAGGCCTGCTGAGCCATTGTAGTTAAGTGAGTTGTGCTCAATTTTATGACCTTTTAAACTGCAGTTAAGTGAACTGCTATGAATGCCATGGTTATTAAGAGAATCTGACTTCATCTATTGACTTTGCTTGCCGGAAGCTCCATGGGAAGATTGGAAATGACAATCACTTGACCCCAGCACCCTGTAATCATTGCAAATACATGTCAATTGCCAAGCACTTGGATTTTAATTATTTTGAGTGCAGGAATGTTGTGATGGTCATAAGTGCACAGACCGGTAATAAATCACTTTTTAGGGCAGCCATAATGTTGAAGATCATTAAGTGAATGGTTATAAGTCAAGAACTGCCTGCTTAAGATAGATCACCAAGAAGCATAGCCTACTTCACTGTTAAAATGGTCTTGTAAAAGTGCAAATCTGAACCAAATGCTGGTATATTCAAAACCATATTTTCTTCCCACCAGGATTTAATCCCACTTTTGGACCAACTTGGGTAAATTTATATGGTTCATCCCAGAATTCAACCTTGCGAGATATACACAAAGATCTCAATGAAGGTCTGGGTGAAGGCATCTTCTATCGTGGACGCCTTCTTATGGCCATTACAGTAGAGATTTTCACTACTATCCAGGCAGCGGAAAAGAAGCCAGCAGAAATTCTTAAAGGGGCCTTAAGCAAATTCAAGTTGAAGAAGAAGAGTAAAAAGGCCAAAGAGAAGTCCAGAACTTCTGTCAAGGAGCAGCATAAAAGCCAGCCTGATATTAGTACCATTGAGGAGGCAGAACAACCAAGCGAAGTGATTGTGGAGGTAGAAGACCTCCATCCTCTCCCAGAGGTGAGTCTTGGTGATTAGATCACAGAAATCATAGGAAAGTGAAATTATTTTATATGAGATCTTCTCTATATTTTGTGTTTAATAAATGAGGGTTAAAACATTATTTCCCCCATTTAACATTTTCAATATTAAACTTTAAACAGTAAAGAAGTGAATACAAATAACTGTACTAAATGTTAAATATTATAAAACAATGTAATCTAAATTAACAAGATAAAATCCTTCTTTTGAGTAAAACATTAGGCAACTTGCAATCTGTCACTGAATCTTTGGAGTTTTTTCTATTTCTTATTCTCCCGTCCTCCTGAGAGTTATGTGTATTTTTAAAGAAGGTGTAGTTGTTTGTTCAATGACTTGTGCCATTGATTTTTTTACTTCATTTTTTATTTTACTCAAAAGATTAAAGTACAAAATCAAAAAGAAAAAAAGTTAACATAGACAAACCAGACAAAGACAACTGTGAATTAAAAAGGACAAAAAACAACCCCCCTTTTTATTCCCCAGTTGAATATCCAAACTATTACAACAATAAAAGGTTGTTGCAAAAAAAAAGTTGTAAAACTCCAACAAGGGGTTATAAAATAGGTCAGAAGTTAACAAGTTGTAAATCTCTGTTTAAAGGTCCAATGAAGCCTTTTAAAAATAAAAGTTATGCATATTTGAAACTTAGTTTGCACAGCTATCGCCCATAAAGAAACTCCTGTCTATCTACTATTGTTTCCTTTCCATGTATAGAGGTGATATTTTTCTGAGGACAGAATGCTTCTGCCTTCCGCTAAGGTCTCTATACGTTACTAAGATCAACATCCTAATTTTTTTTAAATAAAAGGAAGAAATTAAAAATGATTTTAAGTAGCTGAATTTCGGTATAGAGAAACTTTGGGATGAAAGGGATTAAAATAATTATCATTGCTTTTCCTGATCAAAGCATCCAGCTACATAAAAAGGAAGGCACATTATGAATGAAAAAATGAAAACACCCCATACGTTTTAAATATCCTCAAAGTTATTTTATTTTAAAATCTGGATTATTATCTGTGCTCTACCAATCCCAATATATTTAGATGCAACACCTTGTGTATTTACTCCTTAAAGCAGAATTCAGCTTTTAGCTCCCACCCTTTAGACAAATATTAATGTTGTGTTATGCTAAAGTACCAAGTGCCAAGTCTAAATACCATTATGTGTGTGGTGGTGGGGACACATTAAGTTAAAAAATATAGTTTGGATTAATCTGTGAATCAGTATTTTATATTATCATAAAGAAGGAAACTGAAAACTGAAAACTTTTTCTTCAGAATGCCCTAGGAGTGAAAGAAGAATTCCTTCTGTTTGCATCGTTTTTTGAAGTGACTATGATGGATTCCTCAGTCGGTACTAAACCTATGAAGTTTGAAATCTCTATAGGTAAGTGACAGAAGCTTCAGTTCTTTTAAATTTTAAAACAGATTCTCTTTTTCATCCCTCTGCCATGCATTTTTCTCTTCCGTCCTTTACTACAACTCTGCAATTTTGTTACAGCCACCTCTAAGTTTACTTTATTGTCATTGCACCTTGTACAATGAAATTAAACGCCATCTTCAGTGAATATCATACATAAAAAACTATAAAAAATAAAACAAAACCACATATCCTTCACATGCTACACAATTGAATAGAAAAGCCCTGATACTGCATTAATATTGAATTCAACATAGTTACTGCTCTGGGTTAGAAGCTGTTTTCAAGCCTATTTGTCCTTGTTTTTATTGTCCTGTACCGTCTGCCAGATGGCAATAGTTCAAAAAAAAGAGTGCCCAGGATGAGATGGATCTTTAAGAACGTTTTGAACTTTCTTAAGTTAGCGGGAGCTATAATGCTCTTCCAAGGAGGGGAGAGGGCAACCAATGATCCTCTGGGCAATGATGTTAACCCTCTGGAGTGTGGTCCTATCATCCACTGTGCAATTAACAAACCATACACAGCAATGGTGGTTTTCCATTATTTTTACTACTGGTTTGCTCGTGCACAGAAGCATCTGGGTGGGTGGATGGAGCCTTACGCCACTGCAACTACCAGTTCGCCCGATCCAGGAGCAACCTACCTCTGATACCCAGGTGCAATAAGTTAAGATACTTTCTATAATGCAGTGGTAGAAAGTCACCAGCAATATTTCATTCAGTTGTTGTTTCCTGAGAAGTCTCAGGTAATATAATCTTTGCTGGGCCCTTTGACCAGTGATGCAATGTGAGCGCCCCAGGTCAGAG